GAGTTTTCCTGCCGCAGTACTGTGTACATGTACGTGTGTACATGACATACATGTATGTTCATGGACCATTTGGAAGTGTTCCCTAATGCCTGCATTTGGGGAATGTGCAAAAAATGTACACTTGTAGTGAGACATGTCGACATGCTTGCCTCATGACTACTTGCAGCTCCAATTTTCATGTTATACGTACAAGAACACTTGGATTTCGTTGGTTGTGTAAGACCATAGTCTAGCATAATGGTATCAGTGCAGGATGTTGATGCATATTGTTCATTATGAGTCGCCAACGTTAGTGTCCCTTATGGTCTGTGACAATATCAATCACTTGTACATGTACATGGATTCATGTGCATATATGTACATGTACATGAAGTACATATTTCTTGAATCACAGATGAAACTTATTTTCTGATACGAAATGTCTTAACCTAACCCCCTAGGCCCTTTTTGCTATGAACAATCCTCAATCCTCCAAAATGTTGCTCTTAGGCAAAAAAAAAAAGTCTTTGGTTTTTGGTATGGAGCTTGCCCCAAAAGTGGTGTGGCAACGCAGCTTTTGTTTTTTGTTTTTACTTGTTTTTTCTTCAAATGTCGGCTGATGACTGCAAATGGTGCCTGACTAAATTTAGTGCAAAATGTATGGGAACCCAGAGAGGCCACATAAAGCTTATACTCGATCGTCACCGCATCTAAAAACACGTTAAAATTGTGCAGCAGCAGGATTCCAGTTAAAGAAGTGAGTTTGGCGGTTTTGAGACATCATCTTACATTGAAAAAAAAACTTTTCAATTTTGCCGACGGGCATGGCTACGGCGTCGCGCGCGCAGACCAGAAACTGGAGCTTTTTTTTTTTGGCCTTACGTTCAAATGAAGGATGCCCAATGCCTCAATCCTTCAAATCATCAGACAGTCCTGCATCTCAAAATGTGTCCATCCTCAATCCTCCAAATCATCCTCTTCAAACACCATTCATCCTCAATCCTCCAAAACCCATGAATGTGCTTCAACACCATTCATATTCAATCCTCAGGCATGCAACTTTTCCTTGGATCCGTTGATTTCCTCATTTTTTGCTCTCACGAATGCCATTACAAATTGAAAAAACACTGTACAAACTCTAGTTTGTTTTGGAGGTTTTCCTTGTTTGTTTCTAATTCTAAATTCCCATGCTTGAATCCTCCAAAATCCTCATGTTTCTCAAACACTATTCATCCTCAATCCTCCAACAATCCTCCAAAACTGCCGGGAGGATTTTAGAGGATTGAGGAGGGTAAGGCTTATTAAAGATGTATTCCCGTGTTATTTTCGACTTCCACCTCGAAAATATATATTTTTTCCACTGCTATTTTCCTAGCAATGAAAAAGTTAGCCTATTCATTATTGAATGAGACACTGAACCACCAAAAAAACCACTGAAAGTTCAGGCTGTTGTGACTGTTTTCAGGCTTACATTTTGTAATTGAAAAATTCCCAGGAAATCCTGATTCTTGGAAACAGACTTTGATACACACATGTACAATACATACATAGGAACTAGTCAGAATCAGTAAACATTAACAATGCTAGATCCATGTAGTATTTGGGGAGAAAAAAAGAAAGCGACCAAAAAAAAAATGTACTAAATTGCATGCGAGGTACCGATATGATTCTGAAAAATCAATATTTATAAGGAACATTTTCAGAATGTGTTTGTGTAGACCACAAGCTTTTGTTTCCTCTTGATCAATTATTCATATCAATTCATAGAACACACTGCCAAAAACATTTAAAGAAATGGGGGAAGGATAAAACCAAGTTGCCCTCGTAATTAAGAGTTGAGTTTCATGCACCAATTGAAATTATGCTGAACTCCCACAGGGCAGACATATCAGATTCCTATGCAGTATGGGTCATCAATTACCATACTCATATCTTGTATGATATGCAGTGTCTTATAACCGGTTCAGACCTGCGCTGTACGCTCGCATGCCATAACAGCGATTCAGAATTTTGATGTGAAATCTAAGGCAGGGCTATGAAATTTCAAAGTTTATGTTTGTTGGCTGCATGCGTGTGTATTGAAAGCACCTGCCTATAATAAGTACCGGTATTACGAGGCCTATTGGCTTGGCTGTAGAGACGTTGGCCAACCATTGCTCTGGCAGTATAGGGTTAGATGGAAGCTTGTTTTTTGTTTGTTGGGTACAGTCTTCCGACGCATACGTGTCGTTCTTTACCGTAAGGGCGTCATGCGATCCTGCTTTTACGATAGTACATGAACCTCGCCATCAGGCAACACCGGTTCTTAGGATTAGTGATTGGTGGGGAAGATATGATGAATAAAAATATGAATGACCTAGTTAGGATGGACTCAGGTTTACATACATGAACATGTACCAGTATGTACACACTGTACCGTACCGGATACATGTGGATGTATTGCAAATTCACCTGAAAAACAAAGTCCCAATTATTTAACAACAAGTTATCCGTGTTCCATTGTTGTAATGTCTGTTTATTATTTACCTATAATGTCTATTTATTATTTAACTATACAAACATTGAAGGAAATTTTTTTTTTTACATAATTTTGTGTACGACAGCTGCACTTTTGAAAGATACATTGTACATGTAAATGTACATGTGTGAATGTACATGTACATGTACATGTACATGTACTGTACATGTACATGTACATGTACATGTACATGCAGGGTTTGTGTATAGTTTTTGCACTGCTTTGAACTGCCTGCTCAGTTTACACTTTTGAATAAACAAAGAAAATTCACAAAGTTTTAAAATATCAGGGAATAAAAGACATGTACATGTACATGTATACCAAAAATAAAATGTAGTACATGTACATGTATGTAACTGTACACGCACATTGTACATGTACATGTACATGCATACTTTATGTACATGAACTTTCATCTGATGAATTTACATGTACATGTACAATGTACATATATACATGACATATACATGTACTATGTACGTTCATCATGCCTGTGCATTGGACAATAGCTGTGTTGCCAACCACGGTCGTTGAAATTTATGCAAACTGTAGCCCACCCATACAAAACGAAGTTCATTGTTAACAAAGAGAGGTCAGTTGTGTTCAAGTTAGAGGAAGTCCCTAAGTTTTGAAATACCTGTTGCAGCTGCCAAAATTGTCATTCAAGGAGGGATTTTCCCCAATTCACATTCATTTGTGTAAATATTGTTCTGATTCTTGGATAGCAGTACTACTGTACATGTATGTGCAGTGTACATGTACATGTACATACAGTAGTACTAGTAAGCATCATGTCTACAAATGGCTGTGGATATGAATGAATTTCTGCATGTATACTGAATTTTTATCCTTGTGGAGACATTTCTTTGTTCTCGTGTAGTAAAGTTTTTCGAATTTGAAAGTGAAGTTTCAAATTGCTCTTATTTTAACCCGAATTAATTTCTTCGGCTGCATTTCAGACTTAATATCCCTTTTCTAAAACTCTTCCTTTTGTGACTGATCAACCCACCTTGGAAATTCCTAGTTTTTGAGTAAAATCCATATATCTACATGTATTTTGTAAAAACCTTGTGGAGACGTACAGTATTCATCTATAGAAATTGCCCTCTGGAGACGTATACAATCTTTTGTTCCCTATTGTGTGCACGTCTCCAGAGGGCACGGTGTATCAGATCATACAGTCCTGTTTATGTATGTACATGTACATGTATGTACCTACCCATACAGCATTTCGTAACCTCTCGACAAAAGTACAACAGGAAAGGTGCATGTACATGTATCTATGTGAAATAATGTATGTGTGGGAATTTGTATGGAGATCTGTGCATGACATGACAATGTACATGTACATTGTACAATTCGAGAGTGTTCGTTGTTTGTGTACATTGTCATAAAAGTATTACAAATAATAACATGCACCTGTAATTTGGTGGGTTTTTTTGGGGGGGGGGGGAAATTTTGATTAGAACTGTGTTATTTTATTATTATTCTTACTTATTTCTGGTAATGAAACCAAAGATTCCTCAAAAGCGCCCTAGGCACTGTAGCTCGCAAGCCTGAGGAAACCTGTAGAGGGAAGACAGTGAACAAAATCACAGTTTTAGACGTGGGCCGGAAAACCCCTGAAGGATATTCTGGGGAAAAACCCACGGAATCAGGCTGGGACTGTTGCCCATTGTGTATTTACAATATCAAATCTGCCTTTGAGCACAGTGTTCCTGGTACATGTACATGTATGTGTACACGTAAGCATTGTATGTAGTACTGAGAAACAGCTTAACAAAAGATTTTTTGTACAATGTGTATGTACAATGTACAAGTCCAGTCCACAAATTGTTATTGAAATTTTTTTCAACCCAATGGGACATACATGTACATCATACATGTACATGTACATGTATGGAGTATGTGAATGGGCAAGGATTTATTGATGTCAAATACACAGATTGACAAGGCATACAGTTCACACTTACACCTGTCTGTACATGGGTTGGCCGTAGATTTTGGATTTTCCACCAGGGTAGAGCCTCTCTACCCTGGTCCTAAGCAGGTCTGAATTTCGACCCAAATAAGCGCTGGACCCGAGTAGGAACTGTGCTTTAATTAACCCTAACCCCCTAGTAGTAGTTCTAAGGACTACCCTGCTAAATCCAACAGAGTCCAACCGGAGTTTCCTGCTCAATCCACTGTGCCTCATTTTCAGTTGTCTGCTGAATCCAACGGAGGCCAACTTGGCGTTGTAATGCGGTTCAGTTGCCTGCTGAATCCAACATTTTGCATCAGGAATGCACACAAGGGTTTACTGCTCAATCCAACAGGCTCCATCGGGTATATGATTTAGTTGGATCCTGTTGGATTCAGCAGGATTAGGGTTTTAATCTTGCTAATGTGAAACTTAAAAGAGATTCTTCAAAACTTTGCGGTTTGACGCGGGTCCAGCACAGTGATTAATTTTTTTGGTACTTGTCTCATAATTCTGTTTTTTTTCCTTCCCCTCTACCAGACGATACCAGTGAGGTCACTCTCCCGCAACAAGGAACCCTCGCCAAACTATGAAGGGGAGAAGGAGACATGCCTCAAGTATTTCGACCTGTGGAAGGAGAACGAGCAGTTGGAGTTTGTGGAGCACCTGATAGCGCACATGTGCCACTACCAGCATGGCCAGCTCAACTCCTATCTCAAGCCCATGCTGCAGAGAGACTTCATCTCGGCGCTACCCAGTGAGTGTGGCCAGTGGCGTATTTAGGGTCTAATTTATGCAGGGACACTTAAAGAGGGTCATTATTTCCTGGAAGGGCGACTCTCAGTGGGCAATGTCATATAATCCTGAATTTTAAGGGGCGGGAGGGGAAAGGCGATTGGCCGGGGGGGAGGGGACCAAGGGCAAATGAAGGGGGCACAGCCCTCATGCAAGGGAGGCTTTGTCCTTTCTTATTACAGGGTGAGTAAAAAAAAATGAAACCCAAATGTTGGGACCATTGTTTTAGGGAAGTTCTGCATGTAGCATTTTTAAAATCTAGGATATGAAAGCCCAATTCATAAGCTTTCTTTTAGTACAAGAATCATTCCAATCACTCATGTGCTTTTTAAGTTACAGAACTTTAAACACAACCACCGTTTTAAGGTTCTGTTCACAGATCACATAAAAGTTCGGTGTTCTTTCAGCAAAACGAAAAGAAATCACATAGAGATGTGTGCGTGAATTGTTTTCGTTTTGCTGACAGAACGCACACCTTTTTTGTGATCTGTGGACAGAACCTAAAAACGGTGGTTGTGTTTAAAATTCAGTAACTGGAAAAGTACATAAGTGATTTGAATGATTCTTGTACTAAAAGAAAGCTTATGAATTTGGCTTTCATATCCTAGATTTTAAAAGTGCTACATGCAGCACTTCAATAAAACAATAGTCCCGACATTTGGGTTTAGTTTTTTTTTACTCACCCTGTATAGGCAATTTATTGTAGCTAGTCTCAAGGTCAACTCTAGTACAGTAAACTTTCGTTAACTCAAAGTCTGATACCTTGAAACTCTGTTTAACTCGAACTAGTACTCCATTCCTGTCAAGAGATTAGGATTTTATACCCCCATACCTCGAAATATCCGCACCGTTACCTCTTACCTCAAACTTTTGTATGGCCAGTCCATGCAAAATGCCGCCAAAACAGTCACAAAGAAGCATTTATTTAAACAACTTCGCAAAAATGTTTTAACTCCAACTTTTGTTCGGCCAATCCATAGCTACTGCTGCCGAAACAGTTGCAAAGAAGCGTAATCAACATCGCGAAATGTTTTTCATGACTTGCTACTGCCCAGCAGACTTGATCTTTTCATGCGGGGATGCAGCTTGTATGCAACGTTGTAATCAAACATCAGACTCTGGAAAGCTCAATTTTTTTTATCCATTCCCTTGGGGTTCGACTTCATGGGAGTTTTGTACTGTACTTGATGTTCTCTTCAGATTGATTGCTTAGTGGTGATTGCGCTTAAACTGTCATGGGGCATCAAGCCCATCCTAACCCTGCTGAACCCAACAGGATCCAACTATATCAAAGGCCCGTTGGAGCCTGCTGGATTGAGCAGTAAACCCCTTGTACAAATGTACATGTACATATTCAGAGTCGGATTCTGTTGGGTACTGATAAATAACGCCAAGTTGGACTCTGTTGGATCCAGCAGACAACTTAGAATTAGGTACAGTTGAATTCTGTTGCATTTAGCAGGAAGTAATCGTTGGATTTAGCAGGGTAGTCCTGAGGAACCCCTAGGGAGTTAGGTTTAATGCTTTTTTACTGTACATTTTTTATGTAATTACTGCCAAACATCCAACAGTTTACAAAGTTTCACCATTTTTATCCAAACAAAAATGGATGAACTGAGTTAAATTTTACCTGTTGTGACAGGTCAAATTTAGTTGTGCTTGTTCGTTCTGTCTAAGTCAGTTTTTGTGTCTAGATAATTTCACCCTGTGACATGACGCCCTTTCTCAATCTGGCAAAAATCCTCCAAAATGTCTCGGTGGATTTTGAAGGATCTGCGAGAATTAGGGTTCAAATATTGGATCTACCCAGACTTTCGCCCAAAGAAGACCAGACCTGTACCGATTAAGTACCTTGTAACTTGTTCCTCATCCCTCCCAAACTGTCTTCTTCCCCCACAGAAAAAGGTCTAGACCACATAGGGGACAAGATTCTCTCCTACTTGGACGCCAAGTCGCTCTGCGCGGCCGAGTTGGTGTGCAAAGAGTGGAAGAGGGTCATATCAGACGGGATGCTGTGGAAGAAACTCATCGAGCACAAAGTCCGGACCGACGAACTCTGGAGGGGGCTGTCAGACAGAAGGGGATGGTAAGAGAAAAACTTTTCAAGTCACGGAATTTTGAACACAACACCGTTTTAAAGTTCTGCCCACGGATCACAAAAAAAGGACATGTAAGTGTTCTTTCAGCAAAACGAAAACAATTCACATGCATCCCTATGACAAATGTATGAGAATTGTTTTTTTGTACATGAAAAGCACATGAGTGATATGAATGATTCTTGTACTACAAGAAAGCTTAAAGCCAGAGTCCATCATTTGCAGCTATCCAAAAAAGTAACTGGCGTAATTATTGTTGAAAAACATACTGGTTGAAAGATAGTAAGGGGACTAAACTCCCTGTGAAATTATTCTTTCTGGCAAGCTCTCATTTTGAAGAAATCAACGAAAGAAGGCATTTCCAACAGTGCGTCTTAAAAAGCACCGTAGGAAAATTTAAATTAGTAGTTCGTTTTGTTATTCGGCGCAGCGTGCGCAAGCATTGGCACAACGCACAGGTTGCTATAATTCGTCGGATCAGTGCGCGACATCGCGTAAAGCTGCAATTCAACACAATTCGAAACCTGATTTAGCAACTTTTGATTTGAAATTGAGATCCTAGAATGCTGTTATTCTCGGAATATACAGCTGAAGCTGAGCTGAAACTTCATCAGGTTAGTAGTTCAGTATCCTTCATTAGATTTTGAACTCTTTTGTTGCTTCAAACGAACAAAATGCACAAATTACAAATGATGGACTGTGTCTTTAATGACTGAGCTTTCATATCCTAGATTTTGAAAGTGCTCCAGGCAAAACTTAATTCAAAAATTGGTCCTGCCTTTTGAGTTTCAGTTTTTTTTACTCACCCTGTACATGTAGTATCTGAAAATACTTCCGAGACTGAAATTTTGGGGTTGGGTCTCCAGGTGGCCATGTTTTTTTCAATCGGGTACCTGGTTCCCGTGCTTCCCGTAAATTACACATCCCTACACTTGGACTTGCAACTGAATTGCTTGTGCTTTATGACTTAACCCTAACTCCCTGGCGTCTTTTACTAGGAACTGGACCAAGTCCATCAAAATCCATCAATCACTTTGCGTCCAATACAAAACTGTACATGACATAATGGAATCCACCACTGACGCACTGGTTGACATTCATGGACTTGCGACACATGGCTTTTATCACAATAGCAGTACAGGAAGCTAGGCAAAATCAGTTGGATACCCCTAGCACTGCTTCAGGCCATTAGGCCCAAGTCCATCATACTCCATCAGTATTTAGTCACGCCAGGCCTTCTGGACCAAGTCCCCCAAAATCCACCAAAATGGGGGGGGGGGGGGGGGGTGGATTTGATGGATTTGGGGTGGTTAGGGTTAATAGCAACAACTGTGCAGAACAGCTTGAAGTTCAAATGAAACAAGTTCTACAGTTCTAGATGAAGTTCGTCAGTTTTAAAATGACCTTACACAACTGTCTAATGCCAGTTTCTGTTTTAGTTTCATGAAATTCATGTATTCACAATTTACCTCAACTATATCTGTAAAATGAAAATACCAAAAGTCATTGACATCATGTCGGAATAACAGTGACTACAAAACCTAAACTCAGTCATAGTCTCACAAACTCTGCCTTTTTTTTTTACATACACTGCACTTGTACTTGCACTTTTCACGATGTTTGCATAACCGGCCGATAACCCGTACACTATTTATTCTTAATTACACCCTGCATATCCGGAAATCCACGAGGATTTGCTACGCGCTCTACCAACATCCGTTTGACATTTTGAAAGTTGGTCGGCGCTTAATTTCCCCACGTACTTGCAGTCAGTCTTGCCAATTATCTAAGCACTCTTTTGTCATCCATATATGCGTACCACTCATGTACGTGTACTCGCGGATCTTTGTTCAGCAGATAAGTTTCATCAATAATGTATTTTTCACTTGTTCTCTGTTCACGTCATTAACAAGTGTAATTTTTTTGTTGTCTCTGTTTGGATTCTAGGGGGCACTATCTCTTCAAGCCCAAGCCCGGAGAAACGCCGCAATCGGATATTTACTTTAGGAAGCTCTACCCACGAATTATTCAGGACATAGAGGTAATTAGCTTGATTCAGTTTTGTATTTCTATATCTCATTCAAGATTCTTTGTGGAGGATAACTTAAAGGGAAAATACAACATTTGCAAACATCAAAAAATAAAACTACCAAATCATTTTGAAATACCTTGCTGGACTGTTAGTGAATGACAGTGTAAAGCATCCTTTAAAATCATGGCACCTGGTATACTGTCATTTTCAAGAAAAGTGGTATTTTTGTATCAATTTCCAACGCTGGTCGGCTGACCAGGAAAAAACTGGCTTTTTTTTTTCAAATACTGGCCCCAATTGACCATCGCACTTGTTTGCAATCGATTACACACCTATGAACGGGTACAAGCCAGCTAGACTGGTTCCCTGACCTTACAAGTCCCCAATGTATGTAAACTGCTTTGTTTCTTCTTATATGGAGTCAGGGAACCAGACTACAGGAAAATATTGTTTTTCTTGGTTTTTATAGCATTTTCGAACCCAAAACCTCAAAAAAGTCAGTGTAACTATATTTGCTATAAATTTCCAACCCCCCAATTCCATCCATTTCTGAAAATTACAGCAAAAGCAAATGATGTATATTCCCTTTAAACATGTATGTACGTATCTTTACATTCGTTCCAGTGATTGCCCGAGATTTACATTAGTTGCTCTTTAATTTGCTTTTGTTGCTTCAAGTGGTTTATAAGGATGCATGCCAATTGGTTTTCTTGCGGTTTTCCTCGTTTCGTGTTATTGTAAGACATTTATATTACCACAAATTGAAAATGCCTGTGAAACATAATGAGCCAGTCTCATATACTGTTTCTTTTTCCTGTAAATTATTTATCTTAGTTGGTAAAATTCTAATCTTTCCAAAGTTTTTAACATTTTCTCGGAGCGGCTGAAGTCGAAAGGAAACAAGCTACATTTGTAATTTAATTCCAATGATAGGAAATGAAATGAGTTTTCATACTTCCTTCTTCAAAGGGAGATTTTTGAAATCTTGGCTTCGTCTCAAGTTTCGCTTCAGGCTTGTTACAACTGATAATGTAGTAACCAACGGATAACATATCACCAACCGATAATGTCACACAAATTGACAATTTTGTATCTCTAACGGGTAATGTGACAAAAAATGACGGATACTATAGTAATTGTCGCTACACTATCATCAGTCAATTTCTGTTACATTATCGGTTAGGACTGATAATGTAACAATTGACTCATAGTGTAATACATTCTATACTACATTATCAGTCAATTTTTGTTACATTATCGGTTAGTGATACAGTATCGGTCAATTGTTGTTACATTATCGGTTGGTGATACGTTATCCATTGGTTACTACAGTATCAGAACAACAAGGCTCCATTTGCATGATTTTAGTTGCAAGACTGTGGCTTCCAACAACTCTAATTTCTTACCGAACATAAAATCCTATTTGGTAAAAAAAAGCCAGGATTTTACAATTTGGCGTATTTGGTTTGAACAGAAAAGCTTCTAAATGACTCTGGAGCAAGATGCTTTGCCGAAGCTAGAGTTGAACCGTACGATCCAAATTCTCCTCGTTGGATCCGGGTCCAACACCAAGATTTCAGGGAACCCTTTTCACTTATTCTTGACTGGCAAGAACCCAACATGGCTTGTACACGGGTCCGGCGTCTACACGGGCAAAAGCCAACCCTGGTCGTTGAAAGTTGTGGTCATGTGTTTCACTATCTCTCCGTTTTCAGAATATAGAGAACAATTGGCGGTGCGGCCAGCACGAGTTGTTCAAAATCCAGTGCCACAGTGAAAACTCCAAGGGCGTGTATTGCTTACAGTATGACGACCAGAAGATCGTCAGTGGGCTTAGGGACAACACAATCAAGGTAAGTGGAGCTGCGTTTAGTAGACCAACGAGGTTTAAACCAAATAGCCCTGGATCCTTAACCTTAGACATTAACAAGGAACCTTCCCGAGTCCTCAAAAGTACAGCACTGTAGAAACAAGCGCGAGTGCACAATAAGCTCTGGCCCAGTTCCGGAATGTCTCACTTCATATGCAAAATAGCCGCGCATGCGCATCGATCGAGACAAAGGGGCGTGCTGCGAACACGTTCGCCAAGAGTGCATTTACTGACGACGGCATTGCATGTGGTCATTTTTTTGTCAGTTGGTAGTTATATTTTATGGGAAACTTCGTGGGCTCGTTTTTTGGTCAATTTTCCGGGGACAGACCGACCGACCGACCGACCACAGAGTGACATGTAGAAGCTCCTGCCAGAGTTTGAAAAACAAATTGCACATTCCTTTTACTTCAGGGGTGAGATCGGAAGAAAATGGAAAATCCCTGAAATAATCGGCAGAGGGTTTGAGGATCAGTGGGGGATACTTTAAAAAGCCTGATATCAGGAAAAATCCTGACCCCTGGTACTTACACAAAAATGTACATGTTCATTTAAGCCACGTTAAAATCCTCCAAAATGTAGTGAATCTTGAAAGAGTCATGATAAAAGTTACCCATTTAAAAATTACCAATTTTATGACAATAACAGACTTGAAACTCTGGCCGTGTAAGAAAGTTGTGACTGCGGCTGGAAAATAACACATGCGCCTATGGAAGCCACTGGCTTGTGGCTACAGCCAATTCCCATAGACATGTGTGTGTTACTCCCAGCCACTGCCAGTTGGTTCGGACACGTCCTCTGACTTGGAATAGCTATTTACGCTCTCCTGAATTCTCTATTTAGCATGTTTAGTATTATTACTATTGATAAAAGACAATAAAGAAAGAAAAATTCAGTCTCAAAAAAACGTACAGAAAGTTAAGTTTAACATCTTGAGCAGCTCCAAATTCTTACTTTTTTGGGGATTACGCACTTAATTTCTCAATTTTCTCCTGAAAATCCTGTGTTTTTTTGTAGATCTGGGACCGTCAAACGTTGCAATGCATACAGGTGCTCACTGGTCACACAGGCTCCGTACTGTGCTTACAGTACGATGACAAAGTCATCATCACTGGGTCAAGTGATTCTACAGTCAGGTGAGAGCCATTGGGGTGATTTGGGTGGATGGGCTAGTGTCCGGGGAGGGGTGGGGGGGGGAAACAACCAACAAAAAAGGTTCATGACAAAAAAATTACATGTTTGAAAGGGCTTCATGCGATTAATTGTATTTGTTTAAATTACTGTACTCATTATTATTGTTATTAATTACTTCTGGTAATGAAACCAAGGATTCCTCAAAAGCGCCCTAGGCACTGTAGCTCACAAGCCCGAAGAAACCTGTAGAGAGGAGGAATTACAGTTTTAGAGGTGGGAGGAAAACCCCAGAATGATATTCTAGGGAAAACCCACGAAATAAGGCAGGGACTGAAAACCCAATCCACTTATTGACCCAGGCGGGATTCGAACCCTGGTCACAGCGGTGGAAGGCGAGGAAAGTACCGCTACGCCAACCTGACTCCCCATGCGGCTATGATGGCCAATTTTCAGCTCAATTCACAAGATTGTTGCATGTACCAAAGTAAAATTTATTAACCCTAACCTTCATCTTATTGCAAAATCCATACATTGTGGTGAATTCTACACCCAAACTTTTGGACTCTGATTATGGTGGTGTGCCTGACCCCATGTAAAGCATAATCAGTTTACTAGTGCAGTACTCACTCCAACAGATTCCAACGAAACATGCAGTTGGATTTTGAAGGGTTGGGGTGGTTTTAATATAGGGTTAATGATGACTTAAAATGTAGGAAAGTGAACATTAAGAAGAATTGTATTGAGCAACCATTGTTTCGATCAGAAATATCTCGGAAGCTGCAGGCCAACAAATTCTGGTTTTAAATTTAAATATTACAGTTGAACCTCCCCTCCCAACCCTCTCCCCAAAAATGGACAATTGCAACAAAACAAGCAAGTTGTCGCATCTGCAATCACTAAGCCATATTTTGAATAGTTTAATCACATGAGGGATTGCACTAGATTACCATTAGCCTAGTGGTGATGAATTGATGGGGATCTTGATCTATTCTTGCAGAGTATGGGACGTCAACAACGGCCAGATGCTGAACACACTCATCCACCACTGCGAGGCAGTGCTACATCTCAGGTTCAGCAACGGCCTGATGGTCACCTGTTCAAAGGTACGTTTGTTGTCGGCTGCTTGGTGCCGTACATCTCTGAATCTCATTTCTGGGTCAATATTGGCGTTCAGTGAATGTAGGAGACAGAGTTTGTTGACAAAATAAACATGGGTAATGTGTGTAAAACATAGGCTGATATCAAAATGAAATGGCCTTTCCTTTTGACTAGTTACTTAAACTTCACAAATTGTGAATTAGAGAAAATCTAAAATTTAGTACGATTTGAAAACCCAACTGAGTAATGTTGTCGCCTGAACCATCCCAAATCCACTGTTACTTTACATGGGGCTGGCTGGTATCTCCAGGAATTTACCATCTGCTTACTACATGGATGTAGGCAGATTCGAATGTACATGTGTCGGCTCTGAAAAATATCTATGTCATTATTTGGGTCATCACAAAGGTACTGTTTAACTTATAATCTTGGTAAAGGATATTTGGGATACAGTCAACTCTCGTTAATACAAACTCAGTTGGACTTTAGCCAAAACATTTGTTGTATCAGCTGTAGTTTGTATAAACAGGAGCATCGGTCCCATTCATTGTGCACATAAATGCACAGTCGGGACCAAAGCTTCATGTTTGCTGATTGCTATAACCAGAATATGTTTTAAAGGGAATATACAACATTTGCAAACATCAAAAAATAGCACTACCAAGTTTTTACGAAATACCTTACTAGGATGTTGGTAAATGACAGTTTAAAGCATCCTGTAAAATTATGGCACCTGGTGTGAAGTCATTTTCCAGAAAATGGTATTTTAAAAAAAATTTCCAACGGTGGTCGGCCGACCACCTTTGGAAAAACCTAACTTTTTTTTCAACTACTGCTCCAAATTTACCTTTTTTTTTCAGCCCAATTTTGTTTGCTATTGGTTACATGTTCATGAACAGGTGAGGCCAGCTAGACTGGTTCCCTTACCTTACAATTTTCCGGCATCTGTAAATTGATCCATTTTATATTTAGTGGAGTCAGGGAACCAGACTACTTGAACATTTTTGTTTTTCTTGGTTTTTCCAGCATTTTCAAACACAAAACTTCAAACATGTCAGTTAAACAATATTTGATCTATTATACTAACCCTTCAAAGAGTTCATTTCTGAAAATTACAGCAAAAGCCAATGATGAATATTGCCTTTAACAGAGTTTGTATTATTTTTTTTGAGGGGGAGAGCTTTTTTTAACAAGAGCTGTGATAAATTTTTTGCGCCTCTCTGTAGGACCGGTCCATTGCAGTATGGGACATGCGGTCGGCTACCGAGATCAACCTCAGGCGAGTGTTAGTCGGTCACCGGGCGGCGGTCAACGTCGTGGACTTCGACGACAAGTACATCGTCTCGGCTTCCGGAGACAGGACCATCAAGGTAAAAAGCTTTGGGACGGGCGATAATAGGGAGGTTTGGCATCTGAATGGATACGTGCACTCGTATGTTTAGCTATCTGTAATCATTATGGACCATTTTATTGTTTCGTATCATGTACGCGTATCCATACCCTTAGTTATTGGAACCGTTACCAATAAAAGTAGTAATCTAAAATTTTAGCCTCCAATGAAAGCCTGGTATCTGCGGCTAATCCTGCTTAGAAACACAGACAAATGGCACATATGTTAAGTAATTCATCCTCTTTAACCCTAACCACCCTGAATCCTTCAAAATCCTCTTTGTCAAAGTGGACGAATTTGGAGGATTGAGGTTACATGGCAAAAGTGTGTTACTGATTTCGTAGGATGCACTTTGTCAAGGTCTTGGGCCGGACCTTGTGCTGTTTTTGCTCAGCCGGCCATGCATGAATATAGGCATGGATTATGCTTGAAATCCTCTGTACTGCTCCAGGACGTCACTGGCCAAGCCTCAACATATTGACAGTCACTGCGGCAGGATTTTGCAGGATTCAGGCAGTGGTCACCCCTCCACGGACCATATTCAAGAAATAATGGACGAATTTGCAGGATTGAGGCAATATGCTATTTTTCTATGAAGCCAATCGGAGGATTTTGCTGGATTGAGGCTACATCCTAGCAAAAAGGCCTAGGGAGTTAGGGTTAATCAAATAAAACTGCTCATGTGCACATCAAGATTTGACAATGTTTTCTTTCGGGATAAACATTTCAACATGTGCATGCAAAAGTGTAGCACGGTACCAGCAAAATTGAAGAGATCATCGTGTTCTGACGTAACCTTGTGCAAAAAAAAGTTTGGACAAAGAGTTTTTTTTAGGTGTCTTGTGTGTCCAAACTTTTGTGCGTACGAAAGTTTCTCTTTTTGATTGCAAGAAAAATTGCACAGGATGCAGATTTGGTCACCACGTTGCCGATAGCCTTGTTTGCACTTATCTGCCGCGGTTATCCCGAAAAAATGGTTCCGTGTTGTTGTGCACCAGACTATTTTGGAATACCGAACTGGCCTTTTGTAAATTCAGAAAAGAGGGTGAAAATCTACAATTTGCTCAATTTACTGATGTGTTGTGTGTGATTTATCCGTGCAATTTACCCGTGTAGCGGATAGCGAATTGCATCCGGCGCTCTAACCGCATCCGTTCGTTTGCGAAACCTCTCCAATCTTTAGGGCTACAGTTTTACTATCTTTGATAACCACGTTTGCTGGTTGTGTCCTTGTTTTCTAAGTTATTTTGTTTGCATTTTTGTGCTGGAAAGGTAAAAATTAAAAGTTGGTTTAAAAACCTCCGGAACACGTGCATTCATTTTACTTATGCCTGTTCCACAGGTTTGGAACACGTCAACGTGTGAGTTTGTCCGGACGCTCAACGGCCACAGGCGAGGCATCGCGTGTCTACAATACCGCGACAGGCTAGTGGTCAGCGGATCGTCGGACAACACTATCAGGTAAGGAGGGATCATCTTAAATACCCGTGATAAGTTTATCGGCAGTTGGCCCATTGTATCGGGTGTTAGTTGCGGGATTATGAACAAGTTCGCCAGAATCTTCACCCAATTATTTCAGTTATCAGTTTGTTAACCCCTTAGCGCTGGCTGACGGCTATAGACGCAGCTCGATAAAAGCCAATAAGCCAGGAACTGCTATGCCGCATTCATGCTGCATAGCGCATCCATTCACAGACAACGGCTGAATGCTTGCATGTACACATTCCACCTAATGTGCAGCTGTTCACGGCCAAACAATACCGGCGTCAAGGGGTTAAGAATATTGATAACTTCATTACGGGAAGATTTTGGTGCGGTTGTTCTGAACCCTGCAATTTATACTCGATATAATTTGCATATTATGGATAAACTTGTCCACAATTTTTTTTCCTTGATTTTAAACGAGATGACTCGTTTGAAAAAGCTTGAAAAAGTATCTCTGCTTATCTTAGGGGTGAGTTTGGGGAAAAAATGAAAAATCAACAAAATAATTGGCAGAGGGTTTGATGGTCGCCGAGGGTTCAAAAGCAATATATATGTAAGGTTGTATTTGCCTAAAGGCACCCCTTAAAATGACCGTTTCTTTTCATCAAAACTTTTATAGATATAAAAACACCTTTACGGTGAAATCTCAGGAATTCAAGATTTCAAACAGGATTCTTTCAAATACCCGAAATCGGGAAAAATCTTGGAAAATTAATTAATAATTGTGCTTATATAGCGCTTTCTATCGTATCAACGATCTCAAAGCGCTTTACAATTATTACCCCATTCATCAGGCCATGGGACCACACGGCAGCCGATATCAGCGCTCAATCGGTCCTCGACCCTCACAGGTACCCATTTATACTCCTGGGTGGAGAGAGGCAATTGTAGTTAAGTGTCTTGCCCAAGGGCACAAACACCATGTTCTTGGCAGGGTTGGAACCCACGCACCTTCGTATATGAGTCAAACACCGTAACCACCGGATCATGGCATTCTACAATCTCAGCCTTGTTAAAATCTCAGCCTTGTTACCTTGGAGTCTTTCTTCAAATTGTAGACAAAAGTGCAGTCAGTCCTAAGAGAGAATAAAAAAAACAATCAAAGAGAAACTGGAGAAAAATGTCACAGTATTCACAGTGTTGCTGTTAAAAGTTGTGCGACTCTTTGCTTTTTGGTTTTGACAACAACTGTAATTTTTTAATCATGACGACATCCTGTGAAAAAAACAAACAAATCTTGAAATAAACAAATGTGAGTGCACAATAAGCTCTGGTCATCTTGCATGAAAGTCTTGCATAAAAGTCTTGCAAAAAATCTATCAAAATGATCCCTGCCAAAGCTTACAAATTGTGACGCCCAAAAATGCGACGCCAATGGCACATATGGAACAGCGTACTTTGGATTAATACCTAGATTTACATGTACATGTATAGCGATTTGTGATAAATACCATGTGACTATAACATTCCTGCACACATTTTGCTTCCATTAACAAAGTTTTTGTAAATATCTCTCCGAATTGTTACAAACAATTTTTGTTCAGTATTTATTTTATTTTCTTTGCTTTTTTTGAAAATTAAAATTTGGTAGTTATATTTTGTGGGGAACTTACACGCATGAGGCTTATTTGGGTCAATTTTCTGGGGACAGATCGACCGACCACCAAGTGACATGTAGAAGCTGCTTTCAGAGCTTAAACATGGTTCTGTATTTAAATACCAAGGCATAATGATAATAAATAATAATAATAAAAACCATTCTTATATAGCACATATCACCGTGAGGTCCCTATGTGCTCTCATGAAATCAACAATTATACAAATTGAACAGATATGTTTTGACCCGGGTTTTGAATTGTTCTGATGTTTCGGCCTGTTTGACAATATCTGGTAAGTTGTTCCTTAGCTGAACTGCAGCTGATTGGAAGAAGCGGGAACCATAGGACTTAGTTTTAATGACTGGGGCTGACAACAGAGATTTATGGGTAGAACCCAGATTTCTAGCTGGTTTGTACTCCTGAACTAAACTTTGAAGATAAACAGGGGCTATACCATGGCAAAATTGATATGTGAGACCCAAAACTTTAAAATCTATTCTTGCCCATATCGGCAACCAGTGCAAATCATGTGACATTGTTGCCACACTGCCCTTATTCCAACAAATACTTCCAGTTGTCGGAACCCTGCCAAGACTTCTGATGACTATGTATGTGTGGGTACATGTGGTTGGGATGAGTTGCACAAAATGTTGAATAGTTCTGACTTTCCTTGGGGACTTGTCTCGCGTGAGTCATGTCATTTACTGCTTTCTGGACCGGGATTATACAGCCTTGACAAGTGACATCATCCAAGGCTCTGACAGAGCACCAGAGATACCTAAAAACTTCTTTTCAACCTTTGATCTTTTTAAAAATCTTTTTTTTTTCTCTCTTAACCCTCTTACTAGTTAAGAGGTCACAAACGGTCAAAATTTTCTTCCTCGCCTCCTGGCATACTGTGCACAAACCAATGGGGGTCTTGACTAATATTAACCCAAGTAGTGAGAAGGCTAACAATGCATGTTTCCATAGGATAGGAGGGTGAATTTCTTTGGTACTATCTTGCTAGACTCTTCATCCAATAAACGGCTGATTTTTGTTGGCTGGAGGATTCCTAAATGCCCCCAAACCCACCACTTTTTAGGAATTTAAGGACACATTCCTTGTGCCTTCATCAGGCTTTCCGTAAAATTATAGTGGCTGAGTCGTGCTATCCTTAGTCCTGTGGAATCTACCAAAAACCTGGCTGTGCTGGTGGAATTTGTTATTCTGAAAAACAATATTTTCAGAAGTGTTTAGATATAGTGCGTAGTGATAGACATTTATTGTAAAGATTTGCCGTCGTGAAGTATTTGAGAAGTGAATTATGGTCTCCGTGCACAAATAAGAGAGGGCGCTTTTTACCCCTTTCGAGAGATCAGTGGACGGGACACAATGCATGCACGTACTGGTTCGCGACCGTACAGCACGAAGTACGCGCGACTTATTTTATTCCGAGTGTGCACAAAGCCAGAGCGTCTTCGCATGAGCGTCAGATGTCATCAGCGATGCATTAGAATGGCTCTCCCAGTGGCCTCCCCCAACTCTCCCTTTCTTACCGTTGAGGGGGTACTTGCGCACAGAAGTAGAACCCAAACCAGTTAATTTAACGCTAATGAGTGTTTTAATTGCGATTGTCTTCCAGGTTATGGGACATAGAGTGTGGGGCCTGCCTTAGGGTATTAGAAGGCCATGAAGAGCTAGTGCGGTGTATTCGCTTTGACAACAAGCGCATCGTCAGCGGGGCGTACGACGGGTGAGTATTCAGACTTGATCCCTGCTCTGTACTGGCAGATTGGCTAGAACCATAAAATCTTAAATTATTTCCCTTATTATTCCAACCTTTCAACATGACACAGCTTTCCAGGGTTTAGTCTGGTTCCCAGACCAAAAGATTCTGACTATTCCTGATGAATCTTAGGTCAGGCAGCCTCCGTGGCTAAAAATAAACATGACGACATTGATGGCCCTTTTTCAAAGCTCGGCTTCGTTTCCGATTTCACTTTATCACTTTTAGCTTTTAATGTTCGATCTGATCACATTTTCAAGTAAATCACTTGCTTCGTAATATCATACAGCTATGATAATACAGTTTGATGTTTCTGTAAGATAACATTGACTAATGTTGATCTGGAATCTTCAAAATTAGGCACCCAAATAGCACTGTTAGCAGGCGGAGCCGAATGAAGACCGAGTTTTGGAAAATCTCAGTAACGATCGTCAAATTCCAAATTGTACACGACGCAGCAAAAAGTTCGCCCATACGATCCGAGTATATTTGATGCACAACATCGTCGTTGAAAAGTTTTCTAAATGAAAGCAATGAATATTAATTATCAACTCATTTAAAAAAATTTTAAGATGGGTCATTCCACCAGGTTGGGACACAATGTGTGACGTATGACCATATTATGAAAAGTATGAATGCCTTGCTTGCAGTTGCTCTACTTAATATTTGTTGTTGGGTGTTTCACTATTGCTGAAAGTTTTTAATCATTTGAATGTAGGTTGCCAAAAATATGAGCAAAAATGTCATTCAGACGTAACATTGACACCGTATTATATTTGTACTTTTTTTTTTAATTTCTGTAAAACATTACCCAAATTCATGTTATGTACTTCTTAAGTATACATGCAACACACTAAGAACAGTTTTTGTTATGGTAGTCGGCTTTCAGATGAAGCAGAAATGATAGCTTGGTTGTGGACGTAACATTGACACCGTGTCAGCCCCAAATGTCACACTTCCATTGAGTGATTTTGACATCATTACTATATTTACCGTTGCTATATTTGAACCCTGAAAATACCCAAAGAAGCTTTTCTTGGTGCATTAGGTGTCCATTCATAAATATGCAATGTCAGATTGGGTAATATTTTACATGTGTAAAGAAATAGCAAAAAAAAAGAAGAATATTTGGATGTAACATTGACACGGTGTCAATGTTACGTCTGAATTAATACATTTTGCTCATATTTTTGTCAAAGTACTTTCAAATGATTTCAAACTTTCTCAAGTATTGAAACACCCTGAAACAAATATTATGTTGAGCAATTGTTTAGAATGCATTGATACTTTTTGATAATATAACCAAATTTTGGATGTAACACGCACTGTGTCCCAATCTGTTGGAACGACCCACTTGTGATTGCCTTGTGATGGCTTTGTGAACTGCCTTGCGATTGACTTGACTGAGGCCCCACACCAGTGGTTCCTAAATCCACACAGCTGGGTCGAAGACCTTGTTCAAGTAAATAATTCAGGATTAAGAAAGTTACCCAATAAAAAAGAAGGAAAAAAAAACAACGACCTGAAACAAAAACAACTTCCATGACAAAAGCAATTTTGGGTTGAATGCCCCCAAGGCATACCTTTTGCAGGTATTGACCATGACAACTGTATTGTGTGGCACGCACCACTTGCGGTACTTGGCCGAGACCCAACCAGCGTCATTCGTCATGCATTAATCATACGCTGTGGTTGTCAGTTACTATGGATACCTCAGCGAACAATGAATTTTATGATTGAGTGGGAGACAAGTGACAGCCCCCACCCCTTGCTTATCCTCCACACCCCCCCCCCCCCCCCCCCCCCCCCGGCACACACTCGAAACCCTATCACCTGCAGTCATGACAAAATGTTATTGTTACCCCGTCTCGGGTAACGAGAACAGGAAATGACAATAGCAGGACTGTTTATGACCGGGAAGACTGATCTATCAGAGGACGTGGCGGTTTTATTTTAATGCTTAGAGCGATTTATATCAAAAGTTCTGTCTACTTGACCATGGATGTGCAAGACTGGCACACAGACTTTTGATCCCTCAAATTTGTCCTCCAAACCTCATGCTTACAAGTACATTGTACAGGCATGACAAAAAATCAGGCATGCAGCTATTCCTCAGATCACTGATTTCCTTTTTGTTTTCTCTTGTTATGTCATTAAAAATTGAAAAACACTCCACAGAGTTTTGTGAAACTTGGAATTTTCTCTTTTTTTGTGACGTCTCAGTTGCATGCTGTAAAAAAGAAATGTTTGAAGTTCACTATGATTGCAACCCATTTTTGGGGGAAAAAATATGTTGAACAGCAAAAAGAAAGAAAGCAAAAAAATGGATATCACAGTGGATTAAACTAGTCAGAAGAACCACTATCGTAGATTACAGCACTGCCATGACAACTGATATCTTGGTTGAAACCCATTTTGTGGGGAAAAAAATATGTGGTAACAACAAAAAGAAAGAAAGAAAAAAAATGAACTACAATGGATTTAAATTAGAGTCGGAAGAACCACTATCGTAGGTTACAGCACTGCCATGAAAACTGATATCTTGGTTTCAATGTAGTACATATAGCACCTTCTGTTATTCTGTGTAATCGACGTGAAACCATCATTGGGGGGGGGGGGATTTGGGTAAGCCTCTCTAGGATCACCCCCTTTGTTCAAAGGCCTTGCCCGGCTTTCTTCTAACAACCTAGTATTTCCTGTTCAGATCTAGTGCTAGGATCTCCCACAGGGGGGAAAGCTCTGGGTCAGGACTGAGTCATTCCAAGCCTCCAAGGCTCAGTGATGACTAGGCAGATGAGTTATTTTAGAAGTGATCAGGTCGTGATTATGCCCCCCCCCCCCCCACCTCCCTCATGACGTAGGCGGCGGGTGATTTCCCTTGGGGCACTGGCCGAAGAAACAGTGACCGCTGGGGGAAGATTACCCGACTCCGAAAAATCTAAGTGATTGGTTTTCTCAATCCTTTGGATGGAATTGTGGGAAGGGTTGTGATTGGGGGAATAATCCTATTAACGTTTTATTTTTGTGTTGTTCATGTAATTTCTATGTCCGTTTGCCGTTGCAGTAAAATCAAGGTGTGGGATCTGCAAGCAGCACTCGACCCTAGGGCAACCTCTGGCACGCTGTGCTTGAGAACGCTAGTGGTAAGTTCAAGCAAAAACAAACAAACAAACAATTTAGGAAACGAGTATTTGCGACCCACTCCAGGAAAAGGTGATATAAGTCGTAAAAAATAAAATTCAAGTTATATGCACGACTGGAAAGCCCTCAATGTAAGCTTTCATTTGATATATGACACAGCTCTATAGCCTTTCTCGTTGTGGAGATATGACGAATTTGCATATTAATTAGTTCCATGGAGTTCAAATTACACAAATGAGAAAACAGGCTTTGAAATAGCTGGCTCTGTTGTGGATTTATTTCACGACTAAAGCGCGACTTATTTCACCTTTTCCTGGAGCTGGTCACATTTAGGAAAGAGAATAAAATTTTCCTTACAATACTGTTTGTTGCACTTCAATCGAACAGTTGTTGCTGTTTAAAGGGAAAATACAACATTTGCAAACTTCAAAAACTAAAACTACCAAATAATTTTGAAATACCTTGCTGGACTGTTAGTGAATGACAGTGTAAAGCATCCTGTAAAATCATGGCACCTGGTATACTGTCATTTTCAAGAAAAGTGGTATTTTTGTATCAATTTCCAACGCTGATCGGCCGATGAGCGTTGGAAAAAACTGGCTTTTTTTTCAAATACTGGCCCCAATTGACAATCGCACTTGTTTGCAATCGATTACAAACCTATGAACGGGTACGAGCCAGCTAGACTGGTTCCCTGACCTTACAATTTTCCAATGTATGTAAACTGCTCTGTTTCTTCTTATATGGAGTCAGGGAACCAGACTATAGGAAAATGATTGTTTTTCTTGGTTTTTATAGCATTTTCGAACCCAAAACCTCCAAAAAGTCAGTGTAACTATATTTGCTATATATTTCCAACCCCCCAATTCCATCCATTTCTGAAAATTACAGCAAAAGCAAATGATGTATATTCCCTTTAAAGTGTGCAATTAAGGACATATCAAAAAAAGTACAATACTGAGAAAAAGGCCTTTTAAAGTTTCAATTTTTGTAGTCTTGAAAATGAAATATGCAAATTGTTTTTCACTTTTATTCCACGTTTTCTTTTTTACATTTATTTCTTTAAAATATGTGAAGTAGATACATCAGAGATTATAAATATCAATAAATATGAAAATCAAACAAACATCCCCGTTCCTTTTTTTTTGTTTTTCATTCTTCTCCCCAACGGGCTGTGCCCAGTTCCGACTCATTTTGCTAGAACGCCTCACATATTAACCGTAATTCCCTAGCGTCTTTTACTAGGAACTGGACCAATTCCGTCAAAATCCATCAATCACTGTGCGTCTAATACAAAACTGTACATGACATAATGGAATCCACCACTGACGCACTGGTTGACATTCATGGACTTGCTTCGCATGGCTTTTATTGGCAGTACAGGAAGCAAGGCAAAATCAATTGGATACCCCTAGCACTGTTTCAGGCCATTAGGCCCAAGTCCATCATACTCCATCAATATTTAGTAACGCCAGGCCTTCTGGACCAAGTCCCCCAAAATCCACTAAAATGGGGAATGGATGTTGATGGAGTTGGAGTGGTTAGGGTTAATGAAGTACCATTGTTCTTTCAGGCATAATTTCTGAACCTACATGTATTGACCAATCTGGGCGCGCTTTCAGTTTGATCGTAAAGGACGCTTTCATTGTAGCCTTGGTCAGGTGTTCAACGACAGAGTCTATGATCGATGGTTGGCCGCGAAAAACAGTATGCTATACTGTATTCACTCATCACAAGCACTGCAAGAAGCGCGAACAGCGGCCTCACGCGGCTATGCAAATCAGCTGGTACTGAACGAACGCCTTGGAACAGCCGTGGGCCTCTTGTATGAAGTGGTCACAGTGTGTGTAAATACATGTGTTTCATCCATACTTTTCTGCAGGAGCATACGGGGCGTGTGTTCCGGCTACAATTCGACGAGTTCCAGATTGTCAGCAGTTCCCACGACGACACCATTCTCATCTGGGATTTCCTCAATGTGCCCTCCACCGAGTCCCTGTCCGGCAGTGGTAAATCACCCTCACGCTCCTACACCTACGTCACACGGTAGGGGTACGATCCCTTGTCGGCAAAAAAAAAACAACAGATAAGGAACAATTTCAAGTGTGTACAGAGCGGAAAGGAATATCGGACATTTTTACGCCCAACTCCTGCTTGCGTTTCCCAAAAAAAAAAAAAAAAAATTCAGACAAAAGAATTTTTGTATGTATGAGGTTCAGCCCTTGTAATAAGTTGGTTATAAGTTTGTGATTATGGGATTGTGAACTCAGCGTATACATTCACAATGTTTCTTTGAACGAGGGACAAGCTGTTTCTGCCACATTTCTCAGAGGGAACGTTGTACCCAATGTAATCTGTAATATAGTGTAAGCACTGTGTATGATATTCAAGGGTCTCTTGTGTAACTCAGTCCGAACTCTTGAGGGCTCACTTCTGAAATTCCAACATGGAGAATTTGGTGGACCCTCTTTATGACCTCACTCAATATCCCTGTGCACAAAACAGAGGGCGGTGTATTGCCAGGGTTTATGTGCCTGTTGTGTATGAGCGTCATGCACACAGTATACATGTATGTCAATTTTTGTATTAAATTAGTGTGTGTTGCTTAAACTGTATTCCAGTGAAATGTACCTACAGGGAGAGGAAACCTCCACAACAAAATGGTACTGTCCAGACCAACCTCAAATGCAACTTTGTTCCAAGCCCCATAAATGTGGCCAATTTACTGGACTACCTCCGTAAATAAAGGCCACACTTCCACCATGTACAAAAACATGTCAAACTTTGTCAAATTTTGATTTTCACATTTAGGCTTAGTTTGTAGTTTATTTTTGCTTTAGAAGCATACTCACCCTCATTTTAGGCTAATCTGAAAGTGCTGCCATTCTCAGATGTCTATTTTTCGTGAAATTTCCAGATTCGTTTGCACACGTTTGCCTATCAAAATTTCAACATGAAATTTCACGAAAATTAGATATTTAAAAAAGGCAGCACTTTCTGATAAGCCCATAAAGAGGGTGAGTATGCTTCTATAAAAGCAAAAATAAACTACAAACTAAGCCTAAATGTGAAAATCAAAATTTGACAAAGTTTGACATGTTTTTGTACATGGTGGAAGTGTGGCCTTTATTTACGGAGGTAGTCCAGTAAATTGGCCACATTTATGGGGCTACCCTGTTCCATACAGTGGGTTGTAGGTATAGGCCTTTTCACACTAGAGCCTCTCAACCCGGGTTAAACTCAACCCTGGGCGAACCCAGTGCCGCCCCGGGTTGAGTTTTTACTTTTCAACCCTGGCCCCGCATTCAAATTCAACCCCGCATCGCTTCGCACTTGTTTCGTGCAAACCGAGCTCATTTGGCTCGGTAACTGCTGTTTTGAACCCTGGCAAGAGTTTCAACCTAGGTTGAAAATCTCAACTCTTGTCTGGAGCAGGGTTGAGTTCAACCCGGAACGAAATCAATCTCTGGGTTGACGTGGGGTTGGCACCGGGTTAAATTTTTGTACAAGTGTGAAACGTTACATGTTTTCATCCCTGCGTCAACTCCGCGTCAACCCCAAGATTTGTCTATTGTGAAACGACTTCATGCCCGTTATGATGGGCAAACGGCTAGAGTTATGAACAATGAGTTATCAAAGATTTGGAAAGAAAAACAACTTTGTTACCTCTAAAAGAAGTAAAAACACAATTATAGCAAACAGTTACATTTTGAATTCAACTGTGGATGATACTTCTTTGCAAGATTGAGCACTACATACCAACTCACCGTCGAAGCATTTTGTCATAATGGCCCGGGTCAATACACTTTCCTTGACGACGTACCACGTTTTACGCATAGCAACCGGATCAGCCATTTTATGGCGAACGAGCATACGGCATTGGATGATTTTTCCACGATCACATATTTATTTCTGCTCAACCGTGGTTAATTGTTTTGCCAGTGACTGCAAAACATGCAATTGAAAGTCGCTGGTGTCATTTCTACCGGTGAAGGAAAAAACGCAAAACAGCTTTTTAAACTCTGGGTGGTCGCGATCTTTGGTGGAGCGCGTGTTCGCTACGCCAACGACCGCCCATGACCACAATTATGTCATTACTTCATTAGGCCAAATATAAAAAAAAACTTGTTTAGCGTCCCCGCCCACTTCCTTTTTGGAGGCTGCTCCTTTTTTTTTTAAATGAAAAAATAATAAAACAGTGACATCATTTTGGCATCTTTGTCTGTTGCATCTAGCCCATATAAAGCTGGTATGTCATTTCCTGAGCCCAAGTGGCGACAATTTTTTTAAAAAAGCTGGCGGCCATCTTGAAAAATAGCCCGGTCGGGTTGCCATTTTGGAGGGGGGGGGGGGAGGGCCTTCTCCTTCCTGTTTTTCAAAAAGGTTGGACGCTAAACATTTTAAATTTTTTGGCCTTTCTAGACAAAGTCTTATTCTGAGCATGAGTTGTCACATTCCAGTGCGAACTTTAGCCATTCAGGTCAGGTCTTGTAGCTTGTAGACAATCACACTTTTTTGGTTTTTGTGGTCCTGCGTGAAACCGACACAAAAACAACCAGAAAATGGTAAGCTTAACGAGCCAAAAATGGCTCAGATTGGCTCGCGTGATCTGTACAAACAACTGGTCATTCTAACAACTTTTTAAAGAGGTTCACCAATTTGTTTTTTTGGGAGGTTTTGACTATTTGTCAGTTGTAATATTATTAATCTGTATTCTGACAATCATGAACACCCATTTTCCTTTGTTAATTTTTTTTTTCCATTTACTAACGAATATGGGTTAGCAATGTACAAAACCACACATTAGCCCTGTACAGGAATTCTCGAATTGGGCACAAAAATCCTTATGTAAATAATTGTGTTCAAGTTTCCTGAAATCAAATTCTTTTTTTTTTCGGCTGGGGGAGGGGGTTGTCCACTTACCTATTTTTTGTTTCTGATGCATGTGGACTTTTTTTCTGGCGACCTTGATGAACAGAATACCAGTTCAATGCGTTGGATATGTGTATCATTTACAATAGCTTCCTTTTCTTGGCAATGTCTTTTTTTTAAAAAGATACATGTACATGTCATTTAGTTACTTATTTTACCATGTTTAGTCTTGAGTTTAATTAAAATCATTTTTTTTTCAGACATGTCAGAGACTAACATGTATGTTCCCACAGCCAGTTATTTTTTTGCTCACTGCATTTCAAGAATTCAAATTTTCTTGTGAACATTTCATTTTGAAATAATCGTTGCATTTTTTACTCAGAAGTATAAAATGTTATGGCGCCCTCAATTGACAAACTTGTACCAAGTTGTGATTAGTTCAAATGGCTGCTGTAATAACTGCTTGTACATGTACAAGCAAAACACATTTTTGCCTCATATAGGCTGACTTATTAGTGAAGTTGAGAATGAATGTTCTCTTAAAATTTTTTTTAAGTGATTCATTTGAAAGTAATGACAAATCGCTTCGTAACCCTTTTAAAATCGTTTAGTTCCATGCATTTACAGCATGTACTTGTACTTTTTCATGTACATCTTTGTGTGTGTTCCAAGTGCATTATATTTAAATCCGTTTATCTTGTGTAGGTGTGTACATGTACTTGCTGGTCTGGTTATGTGATTTCATTGTTCATTTTTTCCCCCGTGTATACGCTGTTTCTGCCCAGGCAGTTATCAAGACAAAAAGTTAGTTTATGATATGCATTCTGTTTTTTAAAAATTATTTTGTGGGCTAAGCCTGTTAAGAATGTCTGACAAAGTATCTGTTCTGTGCATTTAAAAACAGAAATCCCTTGAAAAAGTCTAAGAAAAGTCTCAATCTGATTTTTGTTTCGTTCCATGTTTTTGGTGTTCCTTTTGTCTATCCTTGTATTGCCTTTCTGGTAACAATTTGCATATATTTCTACAGTTGTCTCCTGAATGTGTGTTTAAATATAATGCGATTTATTTTTTGGCAGTTATGAAAATTGTTTTATTGACTTCCATCGAATATTTTCACCAATGGGCTTTATTCGCGAGTCGGCCATATTAAACCTGAAGCGAGTTAAAATCTTTATATTTGGAACTTGCGAATAGAAATGAAAGCAATGAAATAGTTATTTAACAAATTAAAAAAATACCAGTCAGCTCTGATGAACAATTCAAAATTTGCGATTAAACAAAGGCTAATGTTTTAACCCCATGAGCTCGGGAAGCGGTCATGGCCGCGGCCGCTAATCCTCATTGGAATGCAGTTGCCAGCTGTGGTATGCCGTGGCACATGGCTAGTGGGTAGTTCCACAGCTGCTGCTTTTGTGCAGTCCCGCTACCACACAAAGGCTGTGCAGTCATGCGGGTCACTTGCTCTATGTGTGGAGGAATGTCCCCATTATAACCCGTGCTTAAGGGGTTAAGCCACATTAAAAAAAATGAAAGTGAGGCTTGGAATGCATAAATAGTCTGGCACCATCCCATTCAACAGTTTACAAAATAAAATTCAGTCAGGGAACATGATCAAAAATGGCTACCTCGCGAATAAGGTCTTTTTGGGCATATGTCCGTAGAATTGGGATATTTCTTCTTTTTTTAAATTCAGCTGAAAAGATAACAGCGTTGCTATGTGGATGTTATAAAAGGTTAATGTCTCATTGTCTCGTACATGTACGAGGATTAAATTATTGATAATAATAAGGCATCAATTTATTGATGTCATCAACTCCTAGAGCAGGAATCAATGTGATTGGTTCAGGTTTTGATATGAAATTTACATGTGTTTTGCATAAGAGAAGACAATATCATTGTAATATCTTTTCTTCGTGCCACAGTGTTCAATGGTACAGTGATAATAATGCCTTTTGTATTTATTACAATCATTTGATTGTCCTTCCATTATGTTTTTTGGTCTGACATTGTTTTGTGCTTTTGCTACATGCATCTTACAATATATTTTGGTTCTAGATGATTCTCAGTAGTCGTTACTTATGGTTAAATGAAACATTTTTGAAGTAATTTTCAAGTATAGACATTGCATCTCTATTTCTGCTTCATGACCACACATTTCAGGATTATTATTTTGTTCCTGTTTATATGGCTCATACATGATGTGTAGAAAGATTTTGTTAAAATCGAATTAAAAGTTTCTTTTTTTTTCTTTGAAGGGGGTTGGAATTGTGTAAAATTTAACCCTTTTTAAGA